GAGCTAAAGCAGACCTGGCCCTGGTGGGGGCTGGTGCCCACCCCCCGCCCCCCAGAAGAACAGGACTCAGGCTTTTAGTGCCCCCGCTGTGTGGAGCACGTAGGCGCCAGCCCCAGGGAGGGGTGCACTCAGGCTGGCGTGTTCGTGGAAGAGAAGAAAGCAAGTTCTTGGTCCGGGAGATAAGCCGCTGACTTAGATTAAGAGCTAATTAAACGTAATTCATTTAAAGGAGCCACCAAGAGAGACCAGACACCACGGAAATTGAAAACAAAAAAATATATCGGGGTGGGGGAGAATCACCCAGACTGACTAACGCCAGCCAGATGCTTACCAGGAGGCCGGGCGGGGTACGGGGGGACCAGCGTCGCGCCTGAGTCTGAGGACACAGAGCAGGCCGCTCCTCGTGGCGACAAATCACAGACAAATGAAGAGCTCGACATCAATGAGGGAAATTGAGCTGGCAGCTTAAAACCTCCCCACCAAGACAACGGACGGCGGGATCGATGGCTTCACGGCCGAGTCCTCTCAATCACTGCACAGAGAAATGTCAACCCCACACGGCCTCGAGGAGAAAACCCAGGAGGGAGGCATTTAGCATCTCCTGCGGGGAGGCTGAAACGGACAAATCTATCACAAGGAGAGGGACCTGAAAGCCCAGATTCCTGACACACGCAGAAACAGAAATCCTTCCCAGATTGACACACCCGATGCCACGTAAAGTAAGCACCCAACAGGGTGGCCAAGAGGCGCTGTGGGGCATCTTGGCCAGCGGTCAGCGCGGCCTGCCCTGCTTCCCGTCACCTCCGCCCTATGGGCCCAGTTCAACCCAAACAGGGATCAGCTTTTTTCTCGGGGACGCTGCTAAGCTGTCCGTGTGATGTGGTTGGTTGGTTGGTTTGGCTTTGGGGGTACCCCCTGGGTACTCAGGGATCACTCTTGGCTCTGTGTTCGGGGATGGCTCCTGGTGAGGTTTGCACCATATGCAGTGCCAGGGGTTGAACTCAGGTCGGCGGCCGGCAAGACCGATGCCTCACCTTACCCAATGTGCTCTCTCACTCCCCGACACGCTGTGTACCCTTAAGCCTTCCTTCCCCGCTCTTAGTTCCCGCAGTTTTGCCGTGCTGGGAGGGCAGGAATTGCAGGAATCTCTCACTTTGGGTAAGTAGAAATCTATGGTACTGTCTCGGGGACACGCTGGAGAGGAATGCTAGGTAGGTGCTATCGCTTCCTCTTTAAGGGCTGGGATCACAATCAAGTTCAGCAGGAAATGCAGAAGTATCGCTCCTGAATCAGAAGAGCATGGTACTGGAATAAAGAAAGATGCTCTGGCCCCGGGGACAGGACAGAATAACCAAGGATAAACCCCCGTGTATGTGGTCAGCTAATCCGACAAAGGAACTGAGAGCGTGAAGCAGAATCAAAGACAGCCATTTTTTAACAAATGGTGTTGGGAGAAGTGGATAATCGCCATCTGCGAGAAACTAAAGCTGGATCTACATCTCACGCCTGACGTGAAGGTCCACTCAAAGTGTACCCGAGGCCTCGAGATGAGACCTGAACTGACAGAAGAAAATATAAGCAGAAGGCTCCAAGATGCAGACCTCAAAGGAGTCTTCATGGGCTGGAGCGATAGCACAGCGGGGAGGGCGTTTGCCTTGCACGCGGCCGACCCGGGTTCGATTTCCAGCATCCCATAGGGTCCCCTGAGCACCGCCAGGAGTGATTCCGGAGTGCATGAGCCAGGAGTAACCTGAAGCTAGGTGTGACCCCCAAAAACCAAACCAAACAATCAAAGGAGCCTTCAAACGATAAGATACCACTGGCAAAGGCTACAGACTCAAAACTAAACAAGCGGGACGACATCGCACTTAAATGTTTCTGTATAGCAAGAGACACACACGCTAAAACTAAATGACACACCAGGTAAAGGGTTGACACCCAGGAGCTACAGAGCACTCACAAAGATCAGCAAGGACAAAACGCAAAGCCCCATCAAAAAGTGGGGAGAGGAAATCAACAGGCATTTCTATGAGGAAGACCAAAGGATGGCCGACAGGCACTTGGGAAAGTGTTCATCATCACTTACTATTAGGAAAATCCACGTCAAGAGAACCATGAGATATTATCTTACACCAGTGAGGATGGCACATATCAAAAACACCGAGAACAATCTCTGTTGGTGGGAATGCTGTCTGGTCCGACTCCTCTGGAAAACAGTGTACGGAGCGGACTCGGTAAACTGAGAACTGAGCTTCCATACGGCCGGGCAATTGCAGTCTGGGGTATCTAATCCCCAGGGTAGATAAACATTCCTTCAAAAGAACCCACGCACACCATTATTCGTTGCAGCACTCAGTACAATAGCTGAAAGCTGGAACGGACCTGGATGTCCAACAGCGGATACGTGGCTCATGCAGATCTGGAATATCCACACGTAATGGAATACTACACAGCTGTAAGGAATGATGAAATTGTGCCATCTGCGGCAACATGGTTGGAACTGGAAGACAGCATGTTAAAGGAAGGAAGCCAGAGGAGGATGAACGCCGGGTATCACTTCTATGTGATACTTAGAAAAACTGGATGAGGGAACGCAATGTTTTAAAGGGGGAGGGGGGTACCCTGATCAAACTTGGCCCCAGAGTAGAGTGAAAAGAAAGAGAGAAAGGAAGGAAGGGGGGAAGGAAGGGGGAAGGAAGGAAGGAAGGAAGGAAGGAAGGAGGGAGGGAGGGAGGGAGGGAGGGAGGGAGGGAGGGAGGGAGAGAGGGAGGGAGGGAGGGAGGGAAGGGAGGGAGGGAATGGAGGGAGGAAGGGAGGGAGGGAAGGGAGGGAGAGAGGGAGGAGGGAGGGAGGGAAGAGAGGGAGGGAGGGAGGGAGGAAGGGAAGAGAGGGAGGGAGGGAGGGAGGGAGGGAAGGGAGGAAGGGAATGGAGGGAGGGAGGGAGGGAGGGAGGAAGGACGGAAGGAAGGAAGGAAGGAAGGAAGGAAGGAAGGAAGGAAGGAAGGAAGGAGGGAGGGAGGGAGAGAAGGGAGGGAGGGAATGGAGGGAGGGAGGGAAGGAGGGAAGGAAGGGAGGGAGGGAGGAAGGACAGAAGGAAGGACAGAAGGAAGGAAGGAGGGAGGGAGGGAGGGCAGAGAGGGAGGGAGGGAGGGAGGAAGGGAAGAGAGGGAGGGAGGGAGGGAGGGAGGGAGGGAAGGGAGGGAGAGAGGGAGGGAGGGAAGGGAGGGAGAGAGGGAGGAGGGACGGAGGGAAGAGAGGGAGGGAGGGAGGGAGGAAGGGAAGAGAGGGAGGGAGGGAGGGAAGGGAGGAAGGGAATGGAGGGAGGGAGGGAGGGAGGGAGGAAGGACGGAAGGAAGGAAGGAAGGAAGGAAGGAAGAGGGAGGGAGGGAGGGAAGGGAGGGAGAGAGGGAGGGAGGGAGGGAGGGAGGGAGGAAGGGAAGAGAGGGAGGGAGGGAGGGAAGGGAGGGAGGGAGGGAAGGGAGGGAGAGAGGGAGGGAGGGAGGGAAGGGAGGGAGAGAGGGAGGGAGGACAGAAGGAAGGAAGGGAGGGAGGGAGGGAGGAAGGAAGGAGGGAGGGAGGGAGGGAAGGGAGGGAGGGAGGAAGAACAGAAGGAAGGAAGGAAAGAAGGGAGGGAAGAAGGAAGGAGGGAGGGAGGGAGGGAGGGAGGGAAGAGAGGGAGGGAGGGAGGGAAGAGAGGGAGGGAGGGAGGGAGGGAGGAAGGGAAGAGAGGGAGGGAGAGAAGGGAGGGAGGGAGAGAGGAAGGGAAGAGAGGGAGGGAGAGAAGGGAGGGAGGGAGAGAGGAAGGGAAGAGAGGGAGGGAGGGAGGAAGGAAGGAGGGAAGAAGGGAGGGAAGAAGGAAGGAAGGAAGGAAGGAAGGAAGGAAGGAAGGGAGGGAGGGAGGGAGGGAGGGAGGGAAGGAGGGAGGGGGAAGGAAGGAAGGGAGGAAGGGAGGAAGGAAGGAAGGAGGGAGGGAGGAAAGGAGGGAGGGGGAAGGAAGGAAGGGAGGAAGGGAGGGGGAAGGAAGGAAGGGAGGAAGGGAGGAGGAAGGAAGGAAGGAAGGAAGGAAGGAAGGAAGGAAGGAAGGAAGGAAGGAAGGAGGGAGGGGGGAGGGAGGGAGGGAGGGAGGAAGGGAGGGAGGGAGGGAGGGAAAGGAAAGGAAAGGAGGGAGGGGGTCAAGAGTCAGATGAGAAGCAACAGGGGCCAGTCGGGGAGCCAGGTACGAAGGCCGTGACAAGGAAGGAGAGAGCCAAATATCAAGCCACAGAGTCAGCAACACTGAAATCAGGAGACCACAACTTTAACCGCCAGATCTGGAAGGTGCCTGTCACGGGGGCAGCTGGAGGGGGGTGAGGGGGCAGGGGAGGGAACCTGGGCACACTGGTGAAGGGAAGCTGACAGTGGGTGGTGGGATCGGTGCTGATACTGTAAAAATAGTCAACGATGAATAGCTCTGGAAATCACAGTGTTTCAATTAAAAAAAAAGAAGTGTTTCCCATCCAACGAACATGTCACAGGTCTGACCCTGGACAGGAAGCACTTCTAGGAATCTATTAAAGTTTACAATAAGCACACTGCAAAGAAAGCTTTGTTAAACATCCCTGGGTTAAGAAAGTCCAGGGAACCCACGCCAAGCAGGAGACCCTTACCCCACAGGGCTCCGGGCAGGGGTCAGCATGAGTGCCGCCTGGGGGCTGAACCACCCGACGTGAGCCCGGAAGAGCCACGGGACCATGCGCTCTTCAAAGCGTCAGCCTTCCCTGGACACAACCCACCACCCTGGAGAACATTCTCCTTTCCAAACACAGGAGCTTTCAAAACAGACGGTCACAGTGTCACCATCCACCAGGCAAGAAAGACGCGAGGGCCATTTTTTTCCCAACGTGGGAAGGCAACCCAGGAGAGGCGTCCCTCCGCCGGCCGGGCCAGTGAGTGACCCCCAGTCTGAGCTGGGCACGGCGCAGAGCAAAGGCACAGCGTCACGCCAGCTGGGGGCGACCTACCAAAGCCAGGAACGCTTTTGAGACTGGCCTTCAGACACACTTTCTCCAGCCGGAGGTAACTGTATCTCATCAGACAATTCCACAGAAACATCCAGTCCATCCTCGTCCGGTGGTTCATGATGATGACGCTTCTTTCTCCGGGAACAAACGCATCACCTGTGATGATCACTTTCACCCCAAATACGGTCTCCAGCAAGGCCTGGGGAAAGACAAGGGAGAGACGAGAGGGGCAATGTTACAGCGACGACTCCCCAGGCTGGTGCAAGCGTGTCCTTGAGCTGCTCGTTTCCAGTAACTCGGGCAAAGCCTGATGCGTTCCACGACGCTCGCGTCTAAAATAAATCAAGACCCCGTTGAATCGGGAGTAACAAGACTGGGAGGGCTCAGTACCCATTTCTGGCTCTGCTAATTTCAGAGTCTGGCAGTTTTCTAAGTTTAAAAAAAAAAAAACCCGCTATCTTCCATGGAAATCTTCACGATATGTTGTTTTAAAAATATAAGACTTACACTGAATTCCATTGTAAGTTTTAAGGTCACTGATACAGTATACTACTACTTATTGTTAAAGAAAGAAGAGTCACTAAATTTAACACTGAGGGGCTGGAGAAGGAGCACAGCGGGAGGAGCACTTGTCTCTGCACACAGCTTATCTGGGTTGGATCCCTGGTACCTCCTATGATCCCCCAAGTCGCCAGGAATGATCCCTGAGTTCATCTGGGTGTGACTCTACACCCCACCCTGCCCAAATTTGGGGTCCAAAACGGAGGGAGCAGAACGTTGCTCTTCACTTTCTGTCTTTCTGATCATTAAAACAAACACAGTTACCTGCTGACCTTCATATTATACAGAAAACTAAATTACTGTACTTTCTAAAAAAGTGTTGCAATCCCAGCACCTACAGCAGAATGAGGTACATGGAAATGCTTAAATACTTGCTAGATTTGTTTACCTTTTCTGATGGCTAGACACATACTATGTACAAAATATTAAGAGAAAATTAACAGTAAGAAATTATGAATTTAGCCCACAATTCATTCTTTCTTTCTTTCCTTCTTTTTTTTTTTTGTCTTATTTATGGGCTGGAGTGATAGCACAGCGGGTAGGGCATTTGTCTTACACGCAGCAGATGTGGCCAACCCAGGTTCGATTCCTCCTCCCCTGTCAGAGCCCGGCAAGCTACCGAGAGTATTTCACCCGCACAGCAAAACCTAGCAAGCTACCTGTGACGTATTCAATATGCCAAACACAGTAACAACAAGTCTCACAATGGAGATGTTACTGGGCCCACTCGAGCAAATCGATGAACAACGGGAGGGCAGTGCTACAGTGTCCTGTTTATAGGCCACACCTGGCAATGCTCGGTGGGGGGTTACTCCTGGCTCTACATTCAGGAATTACTCCTGGTCCATAAGGGATGCTGGGGATTGAATTGGGCCAGCCACATGCAAGGCAGGCACCCTACCCACTGTACTATCTCTTCGGCCCCACTTACTTAAATTTTTATGTAATACTCCAGTAAGATCAAAAGTTTTCCAGCAATTTTGTGGCACTCCTAGAGTAACAGAAAGTGACATGGTCACAAAAGAGAAATGGTTTGGCAGCAAAGACAAGTGATGTCAGGGCAGGCACCAAGGGCAGAGCACGGACAGGCAGGAGCCAAATCAACACGGAAGTGCATCTGCTCAGAGACAGCATGGCAAACGTCTCCAGCAGAGACAGAGACAGATGCTTCAGGGCCTGTCAAGGTTGCCTCTGGCTCTTCTTTTCTGTTTTACACCAGTCCGTGGCTACTTCCACCCACAGGACGCCACCGTATTGGGACACTAAGTGTTCGATGAGGGGCGGATATTATTCTATTTCTTGCCCTGGTGGAGAGTTAGTGTAACATCTTTAAGAAAAGCTTTTTGGGGGCCGAAGTGATAGTACAGTGGGCAGGGCGTTTGCCTTGCACGTGGCCAACCTGGGTTCGATCCCCGGCATCCCATATGGTCCCCCAAGCACTGCCAGGAGTAATTCCTGAGTGCAGAGCCAGGAATAACCCCTGAGCATCGCTGGGCGTGACCCAAAAAGCAGGAAAAAAAAAAAGAAAAGAAAAGCTTTTCGGTGCGGAGATTTTCCCTTTCTTGTTTTTATTTGGGATTTGGGCGTGGGACAGTGGTAAAGTTCACTGAAAAGTCCAAGAAACCTAAATGCACACTTGGATGGATAATATGAAACAACACGATACCAGAGACCCATAGGACTTCAAAAATAGAGCCCCACGGGAAACCGGCGAAAGAAAGTATTAGAAGTGGTTTATGTTGCAAATATTATAGTCACAGTGTTGACATCTTAGAGAGTTAAACACAATCCTCTGGATTAGCTACGAAATACCTGTGGTTTGCACCAACTTGTCCAAGGGGTCCATGACCACCCAGGTGGTGATTTCTCATGGCAAAGAGTCATGGGGAGTTGGGACGTGAGGCATGAACCTCCCAGGTGGAGAGTTGGGGTGTGACCCATGAATCTCCCCAGTGGGAAGGGCCTGGCCACAGAGGAGGCTCCAAGGCCTGGACCCCGGATGAGAAACACCCAGATCCTATGACCTGACCCAGCGGTGCTGTGTGACGTCACTATCCAGGATGGTCTTCGGGCTCCACACTCCGGGTCCCAAACAGGAGTTGCTCTTCTTCCGTTCCCGCTGGCGACCCTTCCCCTCACGCGCCAAAGGAAGCTGACTGCTAATTGTCTGGTGTCCTACAGGAGAGCGTTGGCAACCCAAAGCCTATCAAAACTGAACCTCATGTCTCCCCAGATCCCAAAATAGACTCGTGGTTTTCATTACGGAAAGTGTCAGAATTCAAAATCCCTGACTGCCTGGCCGAGAACTTGGCCGCTTCTGCATTTATCCCAATGACTCTAGCAGAAAGTTCTAGAGATCCTTCTGAACAGCTGGGATGTCAAGCTGACACAATTCACTCTTAATACCTGGTAAGCAGGAGCTCTGAACACAATTATTTCTCTCTCTCCCAAGGCAGAGTGATAAATTCCCTACACAGAAAATAAAGTTCGGATACCTGTAAAATGCCCTAGAAATTTACTGATGCACGTTCAAAACTGCATCAAACGAAAAGACATCATTTTCATGGTTTATACGCTGAATCTCTTCTGAGCGCAGAAAACTCGAGTTTCAGTGACAAGCCAGGCCTAAACAGATTTTATAAAGTCTCATTTCTGATGCTGAGCTGATACCACGAGGATCATGACTTTGCTCTACTCGGTCAAAGCTTTCCCCCAAGAAATACAGAAGCAATTTCTAAGGATCTCTCATACACCACAAGTCACTAACTCCAAGGTCCCACTGCAAATGCAAACCCCAGGGCTAGGAGGCCTAACATCATGGTCGCAGAGAGTGGCTGGCCACCCACCCCAGGCTCCCAGATCTTGCCCTGGGCACGTCAGGGTGTCTGGGAGGAAAAAGATAGGCCTACACATCTCTTGGCTCCAAGTACGTCTCCCCTTTGCAGTCGCCAGCCCAGCTGGGTAAATCCCGTTTCACTTAAGGTCATGCAATCCACGGCTGTCCGTTCACCTGACACTGGGCATGTCCTTTCTCGGTCACAGCAATTGGTCGGGATGGCGATCAGATTCAGCACTGTCCTTGGCCCTGCACCTGCTACATCAGGCTTGAAAGCCCTCAGAAGACGCCCGTGCAGTCTGGATGGGTAGTTAGAAAAACATCTTATGGCCAAGAGACAGAACCCCAAGGATTGTTCCTACAACCCCAGAAGTCAGTGAATGTCAGGCGGCTGGAGAAATTCTCAATACTGAGAAGGACCACTCTGGGCACACACAGTGTTTAATGCCGATGGTACGGTTACATCCCCAGAAGAACGGAATGGGGACCCTCCACTTCCCACTCCCACCCCCCAACTCAAACACCGCGAGAGACACCTGACCGCAACGCCAGGTCTGTTCTAGAAGCAAGCCTTTGACACACAAGAAGGGTAGACTGAGGTGACCTCCGTGCTGAGACGCTAAAGGATTTCACCGTGGTACCTCATTTAGCACAGGGAAAAAAATATGCTCCTTAAAAATAGTAAGACGAGAAAAATCTGGCCATTGGAATCGTTTTAATGTATGGAGAGCTTACGAAAGAGAAGAGGCACTTTGCGATTATTTCCGTGAAGCAATAATTAGTCTAAGTGCATTGACCCTCATTTATTTTTAGTGAAAGAGGACTTTTAACTGCTGGGGACTGCGTAAAATAAGGAGCGTCTATAGCGGGTGTGTATGGGGGGGGGACGGGGGAGGGTGATAAAATTCCTTCTGAATAAAAAGCTTTTCCTTTCGCAAACTGTAAAAGCCTGGGGCCAGGGGTGGGCGTTAGAACGGGAGAGCTGATCGAAAAAAATACCCGCCTCCTGGAGGGCTCGCTCGGGATGGGAGATGCATGTGGAAAGTAGACGATGGACCAGACGTGACGGCCGCTCAGCACCTGTATTGCAAACCATAACAGCCAAAAGGAGAGGGAGAGGAAGAGGGAAGGTGACCTGCCCCAGAGGCAGGGGGTGGGAAGGGGTGGGGGCGGCGGGAGGGATCCTGGGAGCGTTGGTGGCGGAGAATGAGCACTGATGGAAGGATGGGTACTTGAACACTGTATGACGGAAATGTAATCACGAAAGTCTGTCGGTCTGTAACTAGACCTCACGATAAAAATTCAGTAAAAGAAAATTAAAATTAAAAGATTAAAACACGCGCCTGGCAAGTTTTCTCCTTCTCACCAAAGACCGGGGTTGACCACCCGCAAAGCAGAACATCAGCAGGTGTGTCAGTAAGGAAAGTGGAAGGAGTGGGCGTGAGAATTACCGGAGTGCTCTTCCCTGGGGAATCCGTGTCTGAATCAGATAGACTACCGTGCATCTACTGCTCGCCTAGATTTGGTGCTCCTCCCTCTCTCCGTACATAGGTGTCTCTGGTATCACGGGAGAGAGACGGGGAACAGAAGCGTCAGCCCCCGCGGCACCCGCGGCGTGCGACTTACCACGGGCAGGGTGAGCCAAGTGGCCACCAGGCGGTTGTTGACCCAGCGGTACCAAGACGGGCTGATGAACATCAGAGGTAAGAAGGGGCCCAGCATGAAAATGCTTCCGAAAAAGCTTCCCCAAAACAGAGTGAGGATAAAGTAGATTCCTTTCCATGACACCATGATTCTGAAAGATACAGAGGGAAAAAAAATAACAATATATATTATTACTATGCATACAACTGCCCAGATCCGATTTCTTAATGACATACTTCGGAGTACCCAATCGGAACACCCTGAGGAGAAGAAAGAGTGTGACTATCGTGGAGAAGGCCCCTCGAGCGGTCTCACAGGTGGGCAGCACTGTAGCACTGTCCTCCCGTTGTTCATCGATTTGCTGGAGCGGGCACCAGTAACGTCTCCATCGTGAGACTTGTTGTTACTGTGTTTGGCATCTCGAATACACCACGGGGAGCTTGCCAGGCTCTGCCGTGCGGGCGAGATACTCTCGGTAGCCTGCCGGGCTCTCCTGAGAGGGGTGGAGGAATCGAACCCGGGTCTGCAGGGTCGGCCTCGTGCAAGGCAAACACCCTACTCGCTGGGCTATGGCTCCAGCCCATCTTTGGGTCACTGGCCTTAAAGTGGTTCTTTGGAGCTAAAAGTTTAGGTCTTCCTGATGCTTCTCCCTTGCTTTCCAAAACCATCTGCCAAGGGATTACTGGGGTGGGATGGGGTGGGGTGGGGTGGGGTGCGGGAGGATGTCAGGCCCTGGCACTGCCTGTCCACTGAGCACCACCAAGCAGGAGCATCACAGCTGGAGGAAGGGGACAGGGGCCTCCCACCCAACCCACTCGATCCAACTGCCCACCGGATATGGGGCTCCTTGGTAAATGCATGGCTGACACGTGCAGGGCCCTAGGCTCCACGGGACATGGCACCCCAAACAACAACAACAACATCAACAACAACAAACCAAGCCAAAAATAAAAACGTGCAACAACTCAACAGGCCAAAGCCTTTCACATGTCACGGCACAGAATCAAGGTCATCGGCACGCAGACCACGTTCCTCCTTCTTGGCCAGTGCTGGGCACTATGCGAACACAATCCCTGAAGGGGCAGTGGCCGTGTGCCAGGAGGCGGGGGGACAGGGGGAGGCACAGGGCTGGCACTCCTCTCCACACCTCACAGCTGACTGGTGGGAAGGGGGAGCCCCTAGAGACCCTCAGCTCCCCTCCTTTCCTTTCCTGCATTTCTCACAGCAGCAAGGGTCCTTTCTAGCCGAAAGCCCTGTGCTCCCCCCAACTTCCCCTTGGTCTCTGCCCATTGAGGGCACACGCCAGCCCCTGCCAGCACAGCTTCTGAGAGGCCGTGGGGACGCCAGCCCTCCAGGGAACCTGTGACGCCTCTCCCCCAAGCACTTCAATGCACAGGACGGCCAGGCAGGGCCCAGGGGACACTGAGGTCACTCATCACTCCTCCTGTTGGCTCCCCATCCTCGGGGCGATTTGGTCCATGCTCCGACGCGCTCACAGAGTCGCGCTCGCCTTCAGGATACAGCCCTGAGTGTGACCAGTCACGCTCACTGCCTCCTGGGCTGGTGCTCACTGACCCTCTCCCCTGCCCCCCGCTCGTCCTCCCTGGCCCCCGGCTTTGCTCTGCATCTTCTTCCTCTTCCGAGTCGCAGGGATCGGCAGCCAAGCAGCTCGGATCGTGCTACCGGGGGGGGGCTGGATGACTCGGAGGCGAACGGTTCCTATCCAGGCACCCACAGAGTCCTGAGCTCGAGCCCCGGGGCCACCTGTTAGGTGTCCAGCATGACCCCGGCAAGCGTGCAGTCTCGGGTGGTGATCCAAGGAGCACGGCAGAGTGGGTCCAGGTACCCTCCCCACAGCAGCATGGGTGAGGGCATGCACTCCGCCCCCTCCCCCCTCCTCGGATACCAGCACCCCCGTGAAATTGGTGAGACTCCGGGCAAGAAGGTATGCCAGGACCACGAGGGTGAAGGTGTCGCACCCACAGAGCACCGTGGTGTCAGGCGCCAGCCCTGCTGCGTGAGACAACAGCAGTGACACGGGGAAGGGGGGAAGGGGAGGAGAGAGAGAGAGAGGGCATCGCGCTCCGGATCCGAGACAGCCCATCGCACCCCACGCGGCACGGACAAGCTGGGACGCCGGCAGACACATCCCCACAACGTGCACAGACATGGGCAGCGACACACGTGTCCCCATGACACGCATGGACCTGGACAGCGTCAAACATGTTTCCAGGATGTGCACAGGCCTGGACAGCGTCAGACGTCAGACGTGTCCCCACGACACACGCAGGCCTGGACAGCATCAGAGGCGTCCCCACGACATGCAGAGACCTGGGCAACGTCAAACGTGTCCCTGCCACACACATAGCCCTGGGCAGCATCCGCGGTGTCCCCAGCAGCCCTTGGCAAATATCCACCCAAGGCCAGCAAGTCCTGAGCTCCAGGAGCATCTCCCAGCAGGTCATCGCGAGAGGGGCGGGACAGGACCATGGCCACCTTAGCGCCCGGGACCTGTGTCGAGGGCCCGGGGAAGGTCTGATGTCGTCACCGAGGGCCCTGGGGAGTCCAGGGCTGCTCTGAAAAAAACTGGCCGGCATGCCAGTCCTCCCCAACCTTATACCCCCAGCTTTCGCATCCTCTTGGATGGGCAGCTTCTCCGATGGCCGGAGATGAGATTTTTGCTCTCCCTGCGTGTACGTGGGCACACACCATCACCCCGTGTGTGTGCTACCTCTGGTCACCATAGCAACCGCAGCAAGAAAAGGGGGGCATGGAGCTAGCCCAGGCGGCTAGAGCTCAGAGTGTGCCATCTGCTTCCCGGCCTGGCCTCCAAGCACTGCTGGACGCGGCCCTGGGCGCCACATCTCTGCAGCTGAGCCTGGATGATCCAGCCCTGCGGGCCGGGTACCACAGGACTGACCCCAGGGTCCCCTGAGCACTGCTGGGAAGGCCCCCCCGCAACCCCAAATGAAAAGGAAGGGGAATAAACGAAAATAATTCGCACAGGCAGGATAGCACAGTGGGTAGGGCGTTTGCCTTGCATGCAGCCGACATGGCCGACCCGGGTTCGATTCCTCCGCCCCCCTTGGAGAGCCCAGCAAGCTACTGAGAGTATCTCACCCGCACGGCAAAACCTGGCAAGCTCCCCGTGACGTATTCGATATGCCAAACACAGTAACAATTGTGACAATGGAGACGTTACTGTGTCCGCTGGAGCAAATCGATGAACAACGGGAGGACAGTGCTACAGTGCTAATTCCCACAAAAACAGATGCTCACCGAAGCACATGCATGGGACCTCCAGAACTGACAAGTTCTGGAAGACAACGGACAGGCTCCCAGATTTCTGGAGGGAAGCACACAGGCCCAGGCGGAGAACCGGAGTCACGTGACTCTGGACCTCATGGGCCACGTCCCTGCGCCCCATCCCTCTCCTGAGCCGGAGCGCGGACGGCTGGGAATCGGGAAGAGGCCCCTGCAAGGTCGGAAAACAACCTCCCCCACGAGAAACGGGCCACGGAAACCCAGGCGGGAACAAAGATGAGGCAGTGACCCCCAGGGGCCCCCTGAGTACTGCTCGGAAGCTCCCCAGCCCCCAAGAAAGGGAAGGAGAGGAACACAAGTAAGGACGGAAGAGGCCCAGCGAGCGCAGGAGGAGGCCGAGGGCATCCGCAGGGCCAGGAGGGGGCGCCCAGGTCGGGGACTCCTGCCCCCCAGCCCGGGGAGCACACCTGCACCCAAATCCAGGCCTGCCAGAGACCACCTGGCTCTGTGCCCATGCTTCCAGTGCCATCACTCATTCTGCCAACACCGCGGGACAGACAGGACAGAGCCTTGCCTCGGGCGCCGACAGTGGGGAGCCCCTAGCACAATCCCCGACCTGCCTCAGGACTCGACCTGCTCAGTCCCACAGCAGGACACTCCACAGACCCTGCTCTCCCCAGAGCTCCCTGATGGGGAGTTAGAATCAGGCCCCTCCAGCCTGTCTCCCACACAAAGGCCTTAAGAGGTGATCAGATTTCCAGGGCGGGGCTCATGAACACAGAGAGGCAGACGGTGTCCTGGGGGACAGGGACATGCAGGGGGTTTACATGACCAGTACCTCCTTCTCCTAGGGGTCACCACCCCCTGTGACTCCCAGGACATTTTGCTCAGGCTAGACTCAGGGGGGTCTGCACATAGCACACACCATACTCTCTTGGGGTTAACAGGAATGAAGAGGCTTTCGAGGGCAACTCTCCCGGCAGAGAGAGAGAGAGAGAGAGAGAACACCAAGTTTTAAATGTTTTGGTCTGGGGCGCACACCCAGGGGCATTCAGGGCTCACTCCTGGCCCTGTCCGGGGGACATTCCCAGTGGGGTTCAGGTAGCAGATCCGCACCCAGGCGCACGCAAGGCAAGGGCCTTCACCTGTCCGTTGCTCTGGCCTGCCTGTGATTTCCAATTCATGCCCTTTTATAAATATGTGCTGCTTTTTAATTAAAAATACCAGCACACCCGCTCTCTGGGGGCAGCCCTGGGTTCCATCCCAGCATGTGACCTCCACGCACTGCCCGGCAAGTAGCGGCAGTGACAATATCAGCAATGACAACATAGCAATGAGCATACCAGCAATACCAACACCAGCAACAGCAGCAACACCAACAGCACCAGGAACAGCTTAACTAACAACATCAACACCAGGAATAGTAAAACTAACGCCAACAGCAATACCAACACCACCAGCATCAGCAGCAACACCAACAACACTAGGAACAGCATAACAACACCAACACCAGGAACAGCAAAACACCAACACCACCAGCAACACCAACACTACCGGCAACAGCAATGTCAACACCGCTAGCAACACAACCAACAACATCAGGTACAGCAATACCAGTAACAACACCAGGAACAGCATAACTTACAATGCCAACACCAGGAACAGTAATACTAACACCAGCACCAGCAACACCAACGACACCAGGAACAGCAATACCAGTAACAACACCAGGAACAGCAAACTGACAACAACACCAGGAACACCAGTGCCAGCAACAATACCAGGAACAGCAACAACACCACCACCAACAGCAACAGCGATACTAACACCAATGACAACGACACCAGCAATATCAGCACGACAGCAACACCAGGAGCAGCCACAACA